GTATTCCCTCAGCGACCAGCACAGATCAGCTCTAGGCATGACGAAGCGGGTATCGTCCTCTTTTGGAAGACCAAACAAAGTAGTTTTGCTTTCACAACGAAAAACACAGCGGCCTAGCGTGAGGGGAAGCCCCGGCTTAGCGTGCGCTGAGGCCGGTATAGAGTGAGCTGAGGCGGGCTGGACTCCGCTTTGTCCATGGTGAAAGCCGATCCGGCGATCCACAGCGCGAAGTTGATGTATTTCCTCAGCTACCAGCACGGATCAGCTCTAGGCATGATGAAGCGGATATCGTCCTCTTTTGGAAGGCCAAACAAAGTACTTTTTCTTTCGCAGCAAACCACACAGTGTCTCCATGACATGGCGGCGTTTTATATGGTTTAATACTACAGCGAGAATAAAAGTTACTCCTTCTTTCTTTGTGTGAACATTTGGGCGGTGTTATGCAAATCTTCCCACATAGTGTGGTAGATATGTGGGGGCGTGTTCGAACGAGCCGTTTTAGGTAGGTGTGGCTAACTCTTAACTTTTATAAAGAATATCTCTTTGGATTTGAGACTTTAGTCTTTACAACTTTACAGATCTTCTTTATGCACCAAGAGCTTGTAACACTCCAAAGAGAAAGGAAAAAATGAAATCGCATCATATGACCCCTTTAAAACAAAATTTGCTGAGCTAAAACAACTTGTTTATGCATAAGCGAACCATACTCAAGGTCTTTCAATAAATACTGGGGGGGGACACATCAAAAATGATTTAATGTCCTCAACCACCTCAAGTCGCCCGATTACTAAAACAGAATGTCTGAAACTAAATGCGTTATATAACAACTCAATATTCCAGCACGTTACCTGGACTTGCGAGGCGAGAGAGGGCTTGATGGGTCCTAAAGAACCACACACATGGTGTTTTCACCGTCCGGACACTCTTAGCACAGGCCAGCCCGGAGAACAGGGGGCTGGAACAGCTGGTGGCTACCACACGCAGAAGACTCGCCATCGGAGACACAAGGAGGAGCTGTGCAGTCGGAACGACCCTCCTCCTACATGTGAGGGAGAGAGATAGAGAGAGGGAAAAAAAAAAGTGAGCCGGCTGACCTATCCCATAATGCTCCACTCTGCCCCAGTCACTGCAGCGCAGTTGTTTACCCACCTCCAAGGTGACACACATATGCTCACAGTTGAGTTCACACAAGTGGGTGACTGTTAACTGGGCGTTAAGTCACTAAGTCCTCACATCTTCATAGAGTAAATATCAATACAATTTTTTAAAGAAATTAATACTTAAAGATACATTCAATTTAGCAAAAAGGATAGTAATGTAAAATGTGTCACAGTTTCTACAAAAAAATATCAAGCAGCATATTATGATCCAATATTGATAATAAGAAGAATTGTTTGTTAAGCCTTGGTGAGCATTTAAAAAAAGGAGAAAAAAAATTGGAAGAATTGAAAAAAAATTAAACATATATAACATATGTGAAATTTAGAAAATTGTAAAATTATTCATTATAAAACAATTATTCAAAATTAACAATTTTATTCAGATTTTGTAATTTTATTACACACAAAAAAAAAAAAAAAAACAACAACTACCAAACAACAATTGGTCTCAAACTAGCATTTTTAATAGCGTTTCAAGAAAAAAAAATAAAAAGTATATTTTGTTTCTATAGCTTTTCTTAATTATTCTTTATTATTCTCCATTATCTCTACAGTTTCTAAAGAACTTAATGGCTTTTTACAAGACTATTTGTAGTGACACGACACAGATCAATTAATCCACAGGGTGAAACAGTCAAGGTCACACTAAGGCAAACACAGAAATGTGTAGAAGTGTATTTGTTTAGGTAAGGTCTATCGCATATGAAGGTGATAAGGGTTTTTTCTGAGTGCTGAAGCTTACAGACACAGTAGCAGCTTACAGACAGGGGGGCCTTTTAGGTACTTTATTGTCTACAACACCATAAACACTGTCTGCAAGAGTCTTCTCCAGAAAATACAAAATACACGAAAATAATCATTGAGGAAACTTCTAAAAACAAATATCTCAGACAAAAATATTCTTTTTAGGGTACAAAATATTGCTAATGTGAGAACAAATATTGTTTTGCAGCTTTTGATCAATTTAAATTCATTTTAAAGAATCATATTTTTTATAATTTTGAATAACATTATTCTATTACAATTTTCTAAACATCATAAAGACACTGACATGATGACGTGATTTTAATTTTTAAATACTTATGTGGTCAAGACCTCTCAGGTAGGAAGTCTCACAATTTTAAGTGGTGATACAAACATGAAGCATTTAAAATGAGCTGCTACATTTTATGATAGCCAAATACTTTTTCAAACATATCTATCAGGTCTCACAACAAAATGTGTAAAAGGGGCACCCAAAGTCTTGTGTATTCATGGAATGTGCCAGTAAGACTCAAGTTTCCACTTATACACCAGTAGACACCTGTATAATTTTCCCTTTTTTTAGAGAAGCATCCCACACATGAAAGCACTGCAGTGGTTATGCATGTATGAGGGCGTGGGAAACAATCAAATCACCGACTTAATTAAACGTGTGCAGACAGACTATTGGATTATGGTGCCAACTAGAATTTAATTCTAGCACCAGAAAAGTGACAAGTCAGATGTGGGGCAACGTAACTTACATTAACTTTAATCTATAAACTACAAGGTTTAGAAAATCACATTATTCAACATATGCGATGAGGAGGGATTAGGATCAAAAATAACGATGCTCGCCCTTGTGCCAAGAGTTAGTTATTGGGCAATGCAAAAGTCATTCATTCAAACAGCTCAATGGCATACATCACGCAGAATTTCCGCATATATTTATAAACGCATTAGCATATTTACATTCATATAATGCAGCTCAAGCACACCAGTCCTATCAATTCAAATCTGTTATACATCGCTACATCAAATGCATGCGTTTGCATGGCATATTTTCGGAAGAGCATTGTGGCTTCAGGATCGGTGAGCCGGCAGAAGGCGGGCACAAGCGCTCATTTCCCCTTCAATCCTTTTCGTAATACACTAGCTTGTTAGCTAAGCACAAACAACTACTGCAGGCTGTCGTTTGCATTTAGAGATCAAAGCAATGCATGCCCTAATGCATTTCCTGCGATCAAATGATAAGGTGGCGGAGATCGATAATGAGGAATTGAAATTCTCACCGAGCCGAGAATCAATGAGCGACCTCTGAATGCGGGGACACCCAGCTTACAGCCGCCACCCGGAAGCGCTCGCGCTCACCTCTATCTGCGCCGCTTCTGTGGTTTCATTCGGCCGTCAATCAACGCATGTAAATCAGTCATGTGCTATGGGCGTTTGTTAACGAGATTTAACTGACATTCGTTTCTCTTTTGAATAACATAACTAGGCACAGTTTAGGGATAAATAAAATATTTCGAAAACAACATTTAATTAAAAGACAAACAAAAAGTTGGTCGATGTGATGTCAAATTGTGTTGCTTTTGGTTTGTGGGAGATTAAAAACTGGGATTACACTTTTTTGTAATGGCAGTTGTAAAATTGTACCATGGTAACTAACGTTACCAATCTACCATGGTTACCCAGTTATTGTTTGCACCGTAAATCATAATAAATTAAAATGTTATTTCATTCAAACGTGTTTGAACGAGACAAGCGCGTTCATTCATTCATTTATTTACATTTATTTACAACCCTGGTAACCAGTTTTATTGTAGTAATTACTGCAGCAAGTGGTATTTTTAAACTTTTTTTTTAAATTTCTTTTAACATAACTCTGAATACAATAAATAAATAAATAACAAAGAACTGATTAGAGTCACCAGAGGCATCCCATACCGTTCTAACATCCTTCTTATACAGTTATTTTCATGATAGGGGTTACTTCCTGTGTATTAACCATTTCGACCAATTCTTATAAAATGTATCCATACTTAGTCTTAGAGAAAAGGTCATTTTCTCCATATCCTTTACCATCTCTATCCACTCTTCTCTTGTTGGTGGATTCTCATCCAGCCATGCATTTCTTTGTTATTGCTTTTTTATTAGCAACCAATAACAAACTAAAAAGATTGTCTTGACCTTTAAAATCAGTTGGTATGTTACTGAGCAATTTTTTCAATATAAAAGAGTCTGTTAACAATTTAGATACTTTTATTAAGAAATCACACAAAGAACCATTGAAATGCATAGTTTGTTAACATGGAATTAATTACAATATGTGTTCATTTAACTGTTTTATTACAGTATGGTGAATATAAAATTGTTAAACAACATTAAAACATTTCAAACATATTTAAACAAGCACTTCAATACATTCCTCTTAGAAAAACTCGTTATAAAAGCATTTATCAAATATTATAAGACTCATATCCATTAAGCACTGTCAAATAGAACATTGCCTGCAAGTTCACAGCCTGTAAATTACCAACAAGTTCTTAACTTGTTCTCATGTACACCAACATGTTCTTACAAACAGAAATATACTTATAATCAACTTGAACATATGTTCAAAACATATAAATAACCATCACACATAGTACATGCATTGATCTAATGCGTTCTGCTCACCTTAAAACAATTCTTTCAATCAAAAACCTGGTCAAAAGACAGAGAGACAAAATCTCAATAATAGTTGGCACAGATCGAGAGGAAGGGCAAAAGATGAACTATTTAACAATTAAATGATTACAGTTTTAATTAGTGAGAAATATAGCAAGAGTCCCAGTTGTGCTTTATTAAAAATATTTTTTTATATAAATACATATTCTGTTTATTTTGTTTTTATTTATTTATTTTTGTTAAGTTAATTGGAAAGCAGTAATATTTAACCAAAATCTTTGATAGATTTATGTGATGCCAACTTTTTGGACGTAGAGATTCACATGTCCAGCAGAGGGAGGTAGTAGACAAGGACAATACTTAAAACACTCAATGCAACTCGCATAAAAAAAAAATGTAACAAATTTTGAGAAAGGAGACCCAGATGACTAGGTTCTTGATTTACTGCTGCAGTGTGCACTGCGCAATTACAGTTCTACATCCAGTCTGTTTACAGGCTACATTCAGGCTATATAAAGTCCCAAAACCACACAATTTTTGACCTGATGAACTTTCAGCCTGACATTATTTTTTGGTTTGGTCTCGAACAATGTACTCTAACTGGTTAGTTAGTGGAACTCAAGGTAGTTAACAGCAGAGCAATAAAAATGATAAACACTTGGTCAGTAACAATAAATTAAAACAATTCAACAAGTAACAGTGATTTAAACAATCTTGGACGTAGAGATTCACATGTCCAGCAGAGGGAGGTAGTAGACAAGGACAATACTTAAAACACTCAATGCAACTCGCATAAAAAAAAAATGTAACACATTTTGAGAAAGGAGACCCAGATGACTAGGTTCTTGATTTACTGCTGCAGTGTGCACTGCGCAATTACAGTTCTACATCCAGTCTGTTTACAGGCTACATTCAGGCTATATAAAGTCCCCAAACCACACAATTTTTTGACCTGATGAACTTTCAGCCTGACATTATTTTTTGGTTTAGTAACCTCTCGAACAATGTACTCTAACTGGTTAGTTAGTGGAACTCAAGGTAGTTAACAGCAGAGCAATAAAAATGATAAACACTTGGTCAGTAACAATAAATTAAAACAATTCAACAAGTAACAGTGATTTAAACAATCTTAAAATGTACATGTAAGTTTAAAAAAAAAATTATACTAAATAAACTTTTGCATTGAATACACCATTTCTATATGTTCACTGGCTGGTGCTGTTTCAAGTTTCCCCTTTGTCTCTCATATGTTCCTGTTCAACTAAATCCATCTGTGGAATGTTTGTGTACCATGACTGTAAACTATTAACTCCAACCCAGATTGATACGGCCACTTTTTGCAATTCTTCTCACACCTGGAAAAAAGTTTAAGCTTTGCACTATATATGACAAATAAAAATCCAATGCATTAATTAAAAGAATGCTTTTCCACCTTATTTATAGTTCTCTTGTATTATACTGTATATGTTTCAATGTACATTTAGATGTTAATGTAAAAGGGCCGTTTAACATGTTTTATTTTATGTTTGGATCACATATAATATCTTATTTTTCAGTCAGCCTGCGCATTAATAACTTTGCTATCTACAGTTTCTATCTAAAAATGTAAGCTTTACACTTTCAACCTTTTCTTTCACGTCCTAGCTGATAATATCATGGGTGATGGACTTGCATTTCTTTAAGCAAATGTGTTTCTTACTAATTTCAGTGTATTAATAAGAAATACATTTTACAGTGTCAAAGCACGTCTAAAAAATGATTTGTTTATTTGACATGTTTATTTAGTTTGATATAAAAACAAGTTTAGATTTGCATGTAAGTTAGCCTCACAACAAGAAATACAGTAAGATTTTTGGAGTTCTGGTCCTAATCATCATAGTTTTCATGTCTGTTTTGCAGATGCATCGAGAGTGAGCCGAGCCAACAAAGACTGGTTTGCCTTTGTGAATTAATGTAAAAATGTATGTTACTCTTATTCAAACTGCAATATCGACCTTCAGTACACACACTAAAACTGTCAAGATATAATCTGCAATAATATTGTCCACTAAAGCAATAGCCAAAATAAATTTAATGTTGACATATAAGATCAAGTCACACTGAAGTTGTGAAGGGGTTGGGTTCCATCCTGCCATTTCATTCTTCTCCTACAACAGCTCTTCCTCCATGCAGACACAAAGTTATGAGGCGGAAGAAGCTCCTCTGCATGCCACACAGCTCAACATTGCTTTGAAGTTTAGAAATTCCAAGAGTTTCCAGTAACAAGGTCAAACTCTAATGTGAACCAGAAGCTGCTATTTCTCTCTCTGCCTCCTCACTCTGTTGGTTAGTGGAGAGTGTGAAGTCTCGATATGCCTCGTCTGTGGATCTTCCTGCTTCTGTTGGCACACTTGATCAACAGCCCGGTGCTTTCTGCAAAAGGAGGCAAGAAAAAACATCAAGGGAAGAATCAAAGTGGCCCTGCAACTCCCAAGGAGGACATTGGGTCAGATGGGGCTCCCGAGAGTCCATCAGAATCTGACTTCTTGGCTGATTTTGCCGGGAAACACCGCCTGTGGGTGATCACCGCACCATCGCACAGTGACAACTATCTGCGTATGATGGAGAAGCAGATCCAGGAGTCTGAAGGACTGAACTGTCGCTTGGCAGAGAGAGACACGCTCATCGTCACTATTATTCAGAATGCCATGATGGAAGGCAAAATCCAACGTACAACCTTGCAAGGAGAAGCCACTGTGGAGGCCATGGACTCTGAAATGGTAAGCAAACTTCTCCATTACCTTGAGCTGGAGGACCATACCTTCTCCATGCTGATTCTGAAGAAGAACATGAGGGTTAGTGAGAGATTTCCTTACCCGGTTCGTATTGAGGCCATTCTTGAGGTCATCGATCAGTTGCCTGTGCGAAAGTTGGAGAAGGTCGCAAGAAAGGGGTTACCAGTAAAATGCAAGATCACAAAGAAGAGGATAGTGGTGAAGAAACAGGGTTCCAGCAAGCGTAGGACCTTCAGCCCACAGAGGCGTGCAAATTCCACGTCCATCTTCCTCACACAGAAGATATGTCTAGACAAAAAGGCAACACTGAGAAACAAAGTACAAGATATTTTGAGCGGACGTTCACGATTTGTCATCCGTAAAACGACAGGTAGCTCACGCGACGGCAAACCATCAGCTAAAGCAGGTTCAAAATCTGGATCTAGTGGAAATGAGAGACTGAAGCACGACGACCAGAAGAAAACTCCATATAGTGACAGACACCCAGAGCCGGTAACAGAAGTGAAAAAAGCTTCGGAAGCAGATAAAACACATGCTAGTGCAAAATCTAATTTTGACACCCTCAATGAGGAGTTCGAAGGAGAACAAACCGTTGACCATTCAAGCTCCAAAAAGAAAGGCAAAGGAAATGATGGCAAGAAGAAAGAGGGCAAAGGAGGGAGGAGGAAGTCACAACGAGAAGCAGATGATAAGGAAAAGGCAGCTCTCAAAGACTTCATGCAAAACCTCAAAGGGAGAAGAAGACTCCTTGTAAGTTTTTGATTGTTAAGAAGATCCAAAGCCTATTTGCAGTTCTCCTTGGAAGACTGTATCTGATTATTATGGTTTATTTTTTATTTTTTGGCATAGGTGATTTCATCCCCAAGTGATGTCTCAAGTCACTATATCAAACAGAGAGATGATAATGAGCTACTTAGCTGTGACTTTTCTCAAAGAAAGGTCTCAGTGCTGTCCATCATGGGTTCAGAACGTAATCCTACGCTACACATTCAACACTACCAACAAGGTAATTCAAATGTATAAACACCTGTTTGCACATTTTACAGTAAACAACTTGTGACAAATATTTATGAAGCTTATTAGGACTGGGTGTGAATACAGAGTTCCCTCAAAAGAGTCATTTGTTCATGAATTTAACCACACTTGCTGCATTGTATGTTATTGATTCACTTAAAAGAACCAGCTCAAAAGAGTCATTTGTTTGTTAACTGAACCAGACTTTTGGCTAGTTTTTGATTCACTAAAAAGATCCAGCTCATGTCATTTGTTCGTGATTGGGTCATATTTGTTTAGCTGTGCACTCGATATTCAGATTGTTAAAATGAAGAACACTTTTTTACCCAGCTCTAAAGCTTATGTATTCGTGCTGCACTTATTGCGATGCACAATTAAAATCAAAATGCATGATGCTCTTTTTGAAACAGGTTCAGAGTCTCTACAAGCATCCCTGCCAGAAAAGTTCAGAAACCCAGAGTTAATCAGCGAGATCCGCAGAGAATATGGGCTGGACTCCAAAAACTTCTCAATGGTGTTGACTGACTATGACCTGAGGCCTAACGTAAGAACACTTCATTTTCTCCTAATTCACAATGACTTTGAAAGACTACCAAGTCAAAGGCATACATCTTGTGGTTTTAGCTTAACAGGGTTCTCAACAAGCCAACAGCTCCTTCTGATTTACTGGATTACATTGACAGCTTTCCATCACGTCAGTCTGAGAAGGAAGAGGAGAGAAAAGCTCCATTACCCTGCTCTAAAGCCGAAACGAACAATCAAGAGGAGAACTCGCTTTTGAGGTAAACACCATGAGTTTCCCAACACTTTAAACTATGATTACTAATCATTCCAATTGTTCTGATGTGTGAATTTTCAGGTTTATGTCTAAACGAAGACTTCTGATCATCTCAGCACCCACTGTAGATGACTACTCATTCCATCAGCAGCTTCAGGCGCTCAATGGACAGGAGTGTCAACTGGGTACTGTATGCATCATGTTCTCTGAGCTTTTGTGGATATTTCTTCAAAAAATGAACAGTGATACACTCTTAAAAATAAAAGGTCTTTATTGGAATCAATGGTTTCTTGAAGAACCTTTAACATCCGCAGAACCTTTCCATTGCAAGAAACATTCTTTATAGTGGAAAAAGGTTCTTTAGATTATTAAAATGTTTTTCACGCTAAGAAAAAAAAAAAGTTCCTTAAAAGAACTGTCCACTGAAAAGTTCTTTTGGGAACTCAAAATGGTTCTTCAATGGCATCACTGCGAAACCCCCTTTTTGGAACCTTTATTTTTAAGAGAGTAAATTCATTATACGTTTGGTAACCAAACTAAAAATTGAATCGACATGTACAGGTATTCGTCATTTTGCCTTGTTGAAGATTGTGGGTACTGGATCGACAGCTTCAGGAACAGTGGAGTTTTTTCCATTGAATGGTGAAATCATAAGCTCTTCCTCATTTCTTGCAAGTAAAACATAAAGCTTCAACATCACATATTATAGAATGGTTATGGAATATTTATCATAACCTACAGGAAAAAGTCAACCTGAGAAGGAGACGCTCTCGCAGGATGTGGTGGAGAGTCTCAGAAATCAGTTGAAGATAAACCGGGACTACTTCAGCATGCTGGTGGTGGGTAAGGACGGATACGTAAAGGCCTGGTTCCCATCTCCAATGTGGTCCCTGGGAAGCATCTATGACCTTGTGGATTCTATGGAATTGCGTCAACAGGAACAGAAATTACAGCAAACTCTTGGAATTCACTGTCCAGATGAGAATACCGGTACTTACCATGGTTACACAGAAGAGACAGAGGATGGGTACTTGTACCACAGATCTGAGGACTAATAGTCATCCAAAAAAAGACATTAGACATGCATAAAATGAACATGACATGCATTTGGACATTTGTCATCCCCATATCATGTGATGCTAAACTTTACCTCTAATAAATAGATATTGTATGAAATTCATACAGCTAGCTTATTGTTGCTGTGCCCTGTAAAAGTTCACTTTCACTTGGTTGTACATGCTACTATATGCTTAAATATAGCTAAAAGATAATGTGTGCAATTCTTGTTTTTCAAAGCTGTTGACATTAAAGGCTATTTTTCTAAGCTGTAGAAAATGTCTGAGTGTCTTCACTGTCTTTATAAGTAATGAGTTACACTACTGTTCAAAAGTTTGGGGTTGGTAAGATTTTTTTATGTTTTTGCCAAGAAGTTTCTTATTAACCAAGGCTATATTAGTTTGATAAAAAAAATGGTAAAACCAGTAATATTGTAAAATATTATTACAATTTAAAATATTTTTTTATATATATATTTTAAAATGTAATTTATTCCTGTGTTAGAAAAGCTGGGATTTTTAAGCAGCGATTTTTAATTAATTTTTAACGTTTTTAGAATTACCTTCAAATTTCATTCTAGTATGCTGATTTGGTGCTCAAAAAACATTTTTTATTATGGTGAAATGTTGAAAACATTTGTGCTGCTTAATATTTTTGTGTAAACCATGATACATTTTTTTTCAGGATTCTTTGATGAATAGAAAGAACAGCATTTATTTGAAATAGAAATCTTTTATAACATTGCAATCAATGTCTTTGTCACTTTTAATGAATTTAATAACAAAATAATTAATTTCTTTAAAGACAATTTTTACTGACCTCATATTTTTGAAACTTTATATATATATATATATATATATATTTTTTTTTTTCTTTAAATGTGAATATAACTTGTCAACAATGAGTGTCAAGCTAATTAAGAAAAATTTTTGAAATGCTTCAATGTTTTCATATGTGTTCTTATAGTATTTTTCTTATAGTATCATGCTGAGCAGGGAAGCATGTGAGTATAGAAAGAGCAATTGTGCAGTACGGAATAGGCAAATAGATTTGATGAGGAGAGAGATAGGGCTTCCTGTGATGACCGTGCAGCGGTCAGATAGGGGAAGTAGACAGGAGTGGGCAGGCATTAACAGTCACAAATAAACTGAAGCGAACAGAAACACATTCATTAGTCCGGTTGTGAGCTACCAGTCCATGTGAACATCTGGGAGAGGATATTTTTTGGCTCCACCACCATGGTGAGTGCTCTTTCTGGTTTCATCCTTGAATTGTCACATAGTATTGACCGGTGTCTAACTTTATGGCAGTTTTTAGAGATATTGGTTCAGAGAAATTTATGCTATGAAATCAGATGGTTAACTTGTGAAGGTGCAGGCGTTTTTCTGCATAAACTGTCTTTCCTAGCACACTATGTTAATCTTTTCCTGTTCGTCTACTTATTAACTCATGTTATTAACTCATGTTAATAAGAGTTAGGGTGCTTTTACCCTAAAATATTTCTATTGGTCATGTATGTGCTCGTAATTTCCATTATCATAGGGTTTGTTTGGTGGATTGATAAGTAAAAGATACACAGAAAATAACATGCTATGAAATTAAATGCTGCGTTTGTTACAAAATTTCACTTTTCAAACACAATTCACATTTTAAAAATACTTAAAGATCATCTGGGGAACGTTTAGGGGATTTTCTCATGCGTTTTTGCAAAATTAGATTGTGTAAAAAAAGATTGTGTAATGTTTGGCCAGTTTTTGCTTCACCGACACAACTCGGTTCCTCTTCATCTGAAAACGCACTTAAGTTTCTCTTGAATTCTTCTGCCATCTGGTTTCATTGGCTAGATGCACCTTACCTTCAATTAATCGCTCTTTTTAACCATAGCTAGAATGTGTCACAGACCGGTTTAATTTTATATCTGGTTTTGCTCTTTGTGGTCACAGCAAACCATTCAGATTCAGCTCCATAATACCACATCAACAAAGTGAAACTAGGACACCTGTTTCAGATTGCATCAGTCACAATGTGGGATCTCCCAAATCACCTTCTCATGGTCATCTAAGGTTCTCCATAACCATCTGAGAAACACACACTGACCATCCATTGGCTCTTTGTTAAGCACGTGTTAACACATACCAGGGCTCATATTCAAAACACACATTACACAAATCATCTATCCAAAGAACGGAACTATGGACTTTTTGTGAGGCTGCTTTGCATGTCGGGAGCCTTGAACAGTACAGCTGTTGTTAGTAACGGCCATAAATACAAAATAAAAAATGGATTCCGTATTTATCTCGGTAGATATTAGAGCTCATTTACAAACACAACACTTATTTTGACAATTAATTGAATTACATTCACCTCTGACTCTGGGTCTTCACTTCATTTGAGCTCAGCTGATTTTTCCATGTCAGTTGTACTGAACCTGATGCCATGTCTGAGATTACACAGACATGCTCTTTGTGTGATCTCACTGCATTAGATAACAAACGATCAATCCAAGTGGCATCTGCAAACACAATGACGTCAATGAAGGTTTTGGTGCAAATTCACACAGCTGTAGTTCATCACATCAACTATGGACATGTTCAACTAACGTTTGCAACTAGAAAGTCTAGCAGTCACGGTCACATTATAATTGAACCATGCAAAATAACTTCAGATCCCGCAACAGAGTCTGAAATTAACCAAAAAATGATCGATTTTGGGCCTATCTTCTCCCCAGCATGGGACACTGGGGTTAAACAATTAATCCGAACGACCATAATAAATAAATAAATAAATCCTAACTACTCTACAATGAATATGGGCAATATGATAAACACAATAGTACAATTATAAAATAAATAACATTATAAGCAATAATAAAAAATAAAATAAATTGTAAATAACAAATAATAATTTACAATGTTAAAATATACAAACTACTTAATTCTCTCACAAAACTACAAACCCTGAGCTTTCAAGTTTAAATTATTTTATTGAGCTAAGGTGTCAATCTGTCACAATATGAATTTTCAGGTCAAAGTAAAAAAAAACATGAACAAAACGACATGGAGCAAAATCTATTGTCACCACACTTTTTTGTCTTCATTTTGAACAGTCTATTGTCTTACCTATTGTCTAACAAACTTAAATAAGATGCAACCTTAACTTGATTAACTGTAAATTATCTTACCATAGATGGCGAAAAAATTGTAAAGTGTTAATCATCACATTTTACTGTAAAATACAGTCCAATGTATGGTTTTACGGTAATTCTCAGAAGTAATAACTTATCACATATGATTATTTTCTTGAAATAGATTTGTTTCCTATTTTTGTTATCAGTAATGTACACTGGGATGTTTTTTTGTTACATTTTCAGTTATTTAGTTAAGGTTTATTGCATTACATTAGTGTCATATGAGTTAGCCTGCATGGTGTTTTGTCTTTGTGTTTATGGCTGGCCATGACAGGCAACTTACGATGAAATCTGATTCGTAATGGTTTTCCATTATACCACCTGCACTATGGTGGTTATCAGTACATTTTAAGGTGAAAATCAGATTTTGATAGTTAAGTAGATTGGTAATATTAACATTGTATGACTTAATGAAATATATACAGTTATAAGTTGTAAAATACAAAGGCATCCTGTTTTTTTACAAAGAATTTCTGGCCACCACAGCTGTTTTTTACCGTAAATTTAACAGGATATTTTATACAGCAATGCAAAGACATACATTTATACATTTGGAAAAAAAAGTGTTGCCTATACTGTATATCCATATACTAAAGTGCTATATGGGGTTTAAAATGACTTAAATTAACTTGCGAGAAATGTCTACAGTGCTGTTGTTTGTCAAGAGCATAGTGATATTGTAATTGATTGATCAATGTTAGTTCCTGTGTCTAACAGTTTCTCTTTTTGCTCAGTGAGTCAACAGCACAGTGTGTACCTCTGGGTCAGTCACATTAGAAGCTAGTCCAGAGCTTATCAGCGCTTCCTGGTGAGAGGTCTGTCCTGATACAAACGCTTGTTACTAAGGGTGCACCACACACGTCGCCCAGAGTCTCACATGTATGGCTTTGTATTGCTAGACATGTTAACACTGGTCCAAAGGATCGTGTTTCTGTGAAAACAAAGACATGTAGCTCTGAGGTATCTGGGTAAAAAAGCTTGGTTACACATCAGGAACATACTGCAGACACATAAATGACGTTTTTTTTTTTTTTTTCCAGAAAGAGATTTGCATCCAATTGCGTGACATTTGAATGACGACCAATTGAAAAACTGGTCTTAATAGCTATTTTGTGGTTATAAAATAACGTTTCATTTCACTGCATCCTGCATTTCATTGTGCCGTTTATACATCTAGCACAACTTATATATACAGTGTTAGAAAAAAGTATTTTCAATACAAATCTTTTGTAGATATGAGTACTATAGTAGTGAGTGTACTGACTTCCTGCTAGTTTGGTATGATGTCCTCAGTTCCTGTGTGATCACAAACAGTCCTCATGTTCAGTGCAGTTGACTACAAAGAGCTGTGATGGAGAAATCAAGTATGCTAAGTTGTAGTGAAGACCCAGAATCAGAGGTAAAAGATATTTTATAAACATCTCTAACATGCAATGTGACTTAAATGTCAAATATCGCTGCTGTTTACATGTTTTATTCGATTTATTAGACAGACAGTTCAGGTGGCTTATTTAAAGTAATGAGCATAAATCTGATAAATCTTTGTACAGAATTAACTGACAGTTCAATATAACAAAAGGCAGATATTTGACATTATACAAATACACTTGACACAACCTTAACCCTAATTCAAAAATCTAAATAGAATACACATTCAATAAGACAAACATTAAAAGTACACTCTTAAAAATAAAGGTGCTTCACGATGCCATAGAAGAACCTTTTTGTCTAAATGGTTCCATAAAGAACCTTTAACATCTGAAGAACCTTTCTGTTTCACAAAAGGTTCTTTGTGGTGAAAAAAGGTTCTTCAGATTACAAAAAGGTAAGAAAGAGATGGTTCTTTAAAGAACCTTTGACTGAATGGTTCTTCGTGGAACCAAAAATGGTTCTTCTATGGCATCGCTGTGAAGAACCTTTTGAAGCACCTTTATTTTTAAGAGTGTATGTACGCTTGAGTTTTAGTATTTTATACTGCTTTGATGTCAAGTTTGTAGTATTTATTCCTAGTATTATTCATATTGTATATACAGTAAATATATATTTTTTAAAGTGGAAAGATTATGTTGTATTGTTTTTTTTTTTAGTTTGTACATAATTTGCTTTAAATTGCCATGTATCCACGTATCTGCATGCCAAATTAACTCTTACCGTAAGCCTTCATTGTAGTCATGCAGTCTGTCTTGGTTATGAGCTGTTGAGGCCTATGGGAAGGAAAGCTCTGAAAGAGATTTACCAAACAGCGTTACCCAACCGAACCATGCAACTGCAATTGAGCGACACACAAACCACGAAAACTGCATGACCAAATATAATCCCCAGCGTCGGCCCCTAACGCTCATGGAGGTGCACTTTCATCTGTTTTCTTTGTCATTTTTTGCTCTCAAAACAATACTTTTTTATGGCGCCATGGTCATTATTTTTGAACCCAAGGGAATGAACTGAAAAAATGCTGAATGTAATGTAAATCGCTTTGGATAAAATTGTCATAACATACATACATTTAATTGTAATAAAAGCTATGAAGTATACTAATCACACACAGATAAAAGCTAAAACAGAATGACGAGTACACAAATACAGATGTAAACACTCTGCCCAGGTTTGTCTTCATTCCTCAAACTTTGACTTGCAATCTTGGCTTGCAGGACAACAAGTCCGACGTAAAAGCAATCATGGCTCGTTTCCAAGCAGGAAGTGTATCTACGGAAGGGACTCCAGGTGTTCGTCCAAAACCACCTGTCCAGCCCACCTTGTCTTCAGGCCCAGCGGTGCCTGCTAAGAAGCCTGTTCTTGAAACTAGCCTATCCAGTGGAGTTACTACTACCTCAACCGCCCCTAAACCTAAGAACACAGTCAACACAGCTAGAAGCGCTCCAGACATGCACGAACCTCTGAAGTTAAAGGCTTTTGGGACAAGGTTTGAAAACACACAAGAGAACAACAAAGTCAACTTTAAAGTTCCTGTTAAACCCAAACCACCAGACTCGTCCCAGGACCATGAGACTCCAAAGGTCCCATTCCCAAAGGCACCACTACAGAAGCCTCCTTCAAGCATCATGGCGAATGATTCAAAGCCAATGGCTCCTACGACAAAACCATCCTGGATCAAAGACACCCAGAAAGCTGAAGACAACAGCACTACCTACACCCTACACCCTACACCCACTCCTCCAAAAAAGCCATTGGCACCCAAACCAAAAAGCAACATGGCTATGCTACGCCAACAGCCGGAGGAAAGCAGCAACATGGAGTCTCCTGCAAAGCCTTCCTCAGTATCTAATGTGAAACCATCAAGTTTCCGTGTTAAAAATAGCTTCAACAAACCAGAGGAAGGTGCTAAAGTACCAAGTGCTAATGAGTCAGTCTCAAAGCTCGTAGTGCCTAATAAACCCAACTTCCCAAGAAAATCATCCGGACCTCGTGTACAGACAGCCAACGACGATCCTTCGGCACCCAAGAAGAAACCTCTACCCAATAGCTATGCTCTGGGCAGCGCTCCTGCCAAACCCAACAGACCGCCCAAAGTCAACCTTGAGAAGTTCAAGAAGGGCTTAGAGGTTACAACAGACAGTGAGTACTGATTTTCTAGCTCAAAATGCGCAAGCTTTCTGTATGGCAGCATCTGAGGTAACAAAACAATAGGCAGTAAGCACTTCATCAGTCATATCAAACCCACAAAGACTTTGTGAGCCACTGCTCATATGCAAGCACAGTAGAGTAGACTTTGGGCCAAAGTGGTTTCCGTGGTTTTACTTGTGACTGATCTGTGTTCCTCTGAGACCGTTTGCAACCATGTGCAAAATAATAAGCACTATAAAGCCATAAAGATGAGAAACTGTGAGCAGACACATATCTTAGTCAGTAATTTATGTCCAACTGAGGAACATCACATGACTGTATTGAAAGGTTAGATACTGTTGATTTATGCACTTCGACACAGTGCAACATACGTGTCTTTGATCTTTATTGTGTATCTTAGTTAACACACAATACACTATTACAGCATGTGAATCGGCATCAGATGCACCATCGTGAAACAAACATTCAGGTGCATCTGGTATTCAATAGCAATAACAACATATTGGAAATTCAAGATTTCCTGCATGCGCTGAGCTAACTTCCTCGTTTTGAGTTTCTCTTTTCACTTGAGAGCTGAAGTCAGTGAAAAAACAGGGAAGCTCATTTAAAATGGGAACAGTGTTAGAGATAGCTTTCATCTTTAAAATGTGAAAAATCTGTGAGATCCTGTATAGGACCAGGTTTTGCTTAGCACCATGTGAAAACTTCTAATGATTTAACTATGGTTAAAAACTTCATAATTCTCTGTAGAGGGTTCAGTGTTCAATTTCTTTTTTCTTTTGAAAAACATTTAAACTTTTGTTCACCCCAAAATAAAACTTCATATGTCATGTTGATACAAACCTGCATGACTTTCTTTCTTCTGTGGAACACCAAAGTAGATATTCTGAAGAGTGTTTTTGTCCATACAATGTTCTTTTGAGTTCAGTAAGACTAAAAAAGTCATACAGGTATGAAAAGACATGAGGGTGAGTAAATGATGACAGAATTGACATTTTGAGTGAACTGGTCATGACGTTAACTATGTTCTTGCAGGTCCTGGACCAAAGAATGTAACTCCCCCTCCCCCACCTGCCTCTCACCCCAGTAGTCAGGCACCTCCACCACTGCCCTCTCAATCCTTACGTCCCAACCTGCCCCCACGACCTCCAGGACCTATGTGAGTAACACAGAAATGCTTCGCTTAGCACTGTGACCGAATGATTCAGGTTATGACAATTTCTTTAACATCCGAATTTGGTGAAAATTCACAACTTTATATCTGTCTGCAGAATTCAAGATGAAAATTATGACGATGTGGATAGCTTGAGAGCGGGTAAGACCTACCCTTACATTATTGAATGGGAGTCATTTTAAAGCCAACACCTGATAATTATTTAAGTTATATATATAT